GGATCCCACATATGAGGGCCAGTGACACTGCCCTCCACAGCTAAGATGCTGAACAACAGCTCAACCTGGAGCTGGGCTGCCGTGAGTCGCCAGCGACGGTGTAGGCTGCAGTGAAGCTGTAGTGGGTTGCCATGAGCTACTGTGTGTAGCCAGCAGCCAGCGTGAGCGGCCAGCAGCTGCAGTGAGCGGCCGTCCAGAAGCCGGCAACTGATCTGTCTCGCCCGGGAAGAGCGAATGATGGTGCCAACTTGGGCCAGTGAAGCAACATCCTACACAACTAGATTGAAGAACAAAATGACAGCAACTTGTCTGTTCCCCTTCCCCTGATTCCCCAATAAAATCTTTTAAAAAAAGCATAAAATAGGAGTAAATTTAACCAAAGAGGTGAAAGACCTGTACTCTGAGAACTGTAAGACACTGAAGAAAGAGATTGAAGAAGGTACAAAAAATTGGAAGACTATACCTTGCTCATGGATTGGAAGGATTAATATTGTTAAAATGTCCTAAATATCCTAAAGTAATATACAAATTCAATGCAGTCCTTATCAAAATACCAATGGCATTCTTCTCAGAATTAGAACAACTAATCCTAAAATTTATATGGAACCACGAAAGAGCCCAAATAGCCAAAAAAATTTTTTGAGAAAGAACAAAGTGGGAGGTATCATGCTCCCTGACATCAAACTATACTACAAAACTACAATAATCCAAATAATATGGTACTGGCATAAAAACAGACACATAGATCAATGGAACAGAATAGAGAGAGACCAGAAATTAATCTTTGCTTATACAGTAAATTAATCTATGACAAAGGAGGCAAGGATATACAATGGGGTAAAGACAGTCTCTTCAATAAGTGATGGTGGGAAAACTGGACAGATATATGCAAAAAAATTAAATTAGGCCACTTTCTTACACTGTACACAAAAATACATTCAAAATGGATTAAAGCAACTTAAATTGTAAGACCTGAAACCATAAAACTTCTAGAGGAACACACAGGCAGTAAACTCTTTGACATCAGTCTTATCAAAATCTTTTTGGCTATGTCTCCTTGGGCAAAGGAAACAAAAGAAAAAATAAACAAATGGGACTATATCAAACTAAAATGTTCTTGCACAGCGAGGAAAACCATCAACAAAACCAAAAAAGCCCTACTAAATGGGACAAAATATTCACCAGTGATACATCTGATAAGGGGTTAATATCCAAAATATATAAGGAACTCATACAACTTAACACCAAAAAACCCCAAACAATCCAATTAAAAAATGGGCAGAGGAGGGCCGGCCAAGCGGCTCAGTTGGTTAAGAGCTCGCTGAAGAATACGAGCTCTGAGCAACAGGGTCGCCAGTTCGATTCCTGGCCCAAGCTGAGCTGCCACTGAGCTGCCAACAGGTGGCAGGATGACTCAGCTAAAAAAAAGAAATGAGGGCCGGCCAAGTGGTGCATTGGTTAAGAGCTGGCTTGGGATGCCGGAGGGCCCTGGTTCGGATCCCACATATGAGGGCCAGTGACACTGCCCTCTA